TAACTCAAGAATTGGGTCATATATTAAAGACCGGAGGAGTATAATCTAATTGTACTCTTTAGATGTAGTGTGAGCCAAGTTAGCTTCAAATTTTATAAACTTAGCTCCACCTGCTACGATGGATGAACTTGGGGTTTGCCTATTTTTGCCATAGGCACGTAGATCTGACTCATCATTTTAGCTATCCACACACTGCAACCAACCAGACAAAGCAAGCTAGTTTTGTACTTCTTGTCCCAAGTAAATATGTATATTACATATTTAATATGTTATGTTAACGCATTTGTATTAGCAAATTACATTAAAAAATTAATTAATCATTTTTTAACATGACTATCATTGTCTTTTGAAGTTCTTTCAACGGAGTTTTTTTTATATTCACACAAATTTAAATTATCATACTTAAACGGCTAACACTCATTCTTTTATGGACCAGCATTGTTGATAAAATTAATTACAATTTTTAATTTGAAAGATTAAACTAGAATTTTTTGTGTGTGCGCATTTATTTGTTAATTTAAATTTTTTTAATCCATGATTTTTAATATAAATATATTAATTTTTTGAATTATAATTTTCCTTAAATTAATGAGTGTGCGCTATCACAATTGAGGGGCAGGGACAAAGTACACGTGGTTTCACGCCTTGCTAAATAATTGATGGGCCACTAACCTGTAGAAGCTTGGATTTAATTATTATCTATCTTTGTGCTTTTTTCAAGTTAGTGCGGCTTATAGTATTAATTATAATTAATAATCAACTATCTTACAAAAGCATAACAGACAAGTTACAAGTAAACAACAGTTACATAGATTAAAGCAATGAAGAAAGATCAAGGGATTGTCATTCTTTTATTTTATTTTATGTACCCAATTGAACTTCATAAAATTAAATTTCATATTGCTATTGATATTAATGCTAATAATAACTGATGATGTTGTTATTGATATGGATTAATTTATAATACACATTGAGCCAAATTAAGTTGGGGGACATGCAATGAAATTGATTATGGCTTGATGTGGGAACCTAATGAAATAATTTAAAGATAATGTCAGAAACACACATCATTTTGCTTGCTTGATTATATATTGTGTGGCCAGCCTTTTAGAATTTTTAACTGCGTGATATTAATTGAAAAGGAATAATCCAATTAATTAAAGGTGACACATTTAATGCCAGCGTTTAATGTCTGTGCTGCCTATATGGCTCTTATTATTTGGCCAATTCTTTTAGGGTTCCCATTTTTTATATCAGGTGACGGACAAGACACCAAAAGGAGACATATAACCTTATAATATATTGTTCGGTGTACACGTAGTGGATATGAATGATAATATATGTTAGATATAAAGGCAGATTTTGAGTATCACAAATTATTTTCTTTCTTTATTGTGCGATTATTTTTGCATAATCTTTCAGTAAGTGGGGTACTTATTATTCGTGGCCCATAAAAGATTCGTATGTGACAAAAAGAAATATATATAGATATGGATATACTCCTCGGATCCTTGGCGTATGACCTAACTGAGGAGTTGATGTTAATCCTATATACAAGACTCATTTCACATGGCTATCAATTTTTTTTTTCAAATTAACTCTAATGTTGTTCCCCAACAATAATCAAATAAGAGAAGGAATGAGGGAATTAAGGAAGATGCTTAAGGTGTTTTAAGGGAAAAAAATCATATTAACTAATTTAACTAATATTTTTAGTCTACTTAAACTAGTTAATTATATTTTATATTAAAGATCAAATGAGTATATATATGCTCGTCTGATCTCTTTTTTGTTTAAAATTACAGTGCGAGGGTTCTTTGAACAATTAATTTGCTGTAAGGAGCAAGAAAATAATAGCTTGAGAGAGTACCAAATGTGAGACGTCGTCTACATAAAGTTTCGATGTTAAAATTTGAATAATCTAAATAATGTGTTTCTCTATGATAATAATAGGACTTAAATATAATTGAATCGAACCTATTTTTTTGCAAAAAATGATGAAATATAATGTGCATATACGAACACAAACACACACACAAACACACACAAATATGATATAGAGGGTGTTATCGACATTTCCTTTTGAAAAAAGAAAGGGGAAGGAATAATCTAAGGTTATTACAGCAAACTAGTGCAAGAAGGTAGTAATAAGATTCCAGCGATGTAAGAGATGGATTCTGAATAGGACAATAACATGAAAAGATACTCGAAAAGAAAAAGCAGTGTGCTTTGTGGGGGAGATGGGAATCACATTCTCCTCTGCTACGTATTACACAAATCCATATTTTGTGAAGAAGGAGGAGGAGGAGGAGGGCGCAATGTTCTCTCTCTAAATGAATGGGTGTTTTTCTTTTACGCTTAACCGTTTAAAGTTGATCTAATTTTGGTAAAGATAATAAAGAATTAGAGAAGAGGATCGGACAAGTTCTTTTCCTTTATTGTATATGTATCTATATGTGCGTTATATTTTTATCAGGTCGATGGCTCATGGCTACACACTTGGCTTTTTAATCACACTATGATCTATTAACAAAATGATAAGACTACAGTGATTTTTTCTTGATCAATGGAAAAGTTATAAAGTTCAATGCCAAAAGAAATCCTTATAGGTTTAGGCTGTCGTGTATATGTCTAGAAACACTACCTTCAATCCTTAATATAAGGACTAGTTTGACATTCATTTTGATCTTAAATATAAAATCTTCAATCAATTTTGTTTCTCATATTTATCCATTTTTTTGGGCTAATTCTTATAGTAGTTGCACATGTTAAAGATATCATCAAATGGTAATTGTAACTAGTACATATGATTAGCAAGGATATTTTACAGAAGATAATATATATTTATTATAAATAACTAACTTATCTAATTTTATTAAATTACTCAAATTAGCCAACTAGCTTTTATATTAAGGATAAGAGATAGTATATTTATGTTCAATGTTTGTCTCTATTTACGTGATGCTAACATGAGATTATACAGAAAAATATTGAATCACACCTTGAGTTGATAATTATAATAATCTTTGATAGTATATTGATGTGTCAATTAAGCTGTCTTATATGTGTGTGGATAATAAACAACTTCTTTTCAATTCTCAGGCTAAAATGCTTATTGGCATGATTACCTCGTCTGAAGAGATATTGAAGCAAATGTTACAGACCAACTAAAAAGAAAACTACATTAAACTTAATGTATACCATGAGGAGATCTTAAAAGAAATCTGTTTCAACGTTATGATATTTTGTGTTTAATAAATTACTGATCAAATCATGAATTATGACCCAAAAGTCTTTTTCTGGAAGATATTGTCGATTAAAACAGTTTAGTGGAATACTGAAAGCAACTAACTTTCCCGGGGACCCAATTCCAATTTTAAACGCTCAATCTAATTGAGAAGGAATTAAGTATGAGAAATAACAAATAGACAGTAGAAAATAATGAAGTCATAAAGGCAGTGGATTTTGTAATATCCCAAGTTTTGAATTTAGAAATTTAAGGATAACTTTGAATTAAGTAGCCTAATCAAACATGGAATTGGGAAATAAGCCGTCAAAAGTGTAGGAGAGCTCAATACAGACCAGAAGGAATGAGCAAGACATATGACGATATGAGAGCAACAATGAAATCAGTACAGTTATCAAATTAAGCAGAAATAAAATTATTTGACAACTTGATCCTTAAATTTTGAGTCTCGGAGGGGGAAAAAAAAACTGCAATTAGATCTCAACGGACGCAACATATCCCAAAAAAAAAAAACAAAATTCTTAGTGACATCGCAGTCAAATCTTCGTTAGATTTCATGATGGCGGTGTAATAGATATAATAAATTTCAACTTAAATTTAAATACAATCAAATTTTTAAATACAATCAAATTTTTTTCCGATAAATAAATATAACCACATTTAAATTGCGAAGCCTAGCCATCGATTTTTTTTAAAAAAAAAATTGTATAAGAAACTAGATGTCCCATAGACGACATTCGTTGCATTCTTTCTTCAAAAAACAAAAGTTTCGTTGGTGAAATGCATCAAAGAGGAATTAAGAATTCATCGGAATATAAAATACATAAAATGTTGATTATATTACCAAAAAGAAAAGGTTTTTTTTTTTTGGGTGGCCAGAACCAGAAAATAAAAGGTTAAAACGATAAACTCGTGGTAATCAATCATTTCTCAGTATTTGGGCTGAGACCAAAGAAAACGTAAGCCTTGTAAATCTAATGCCCCAGATCCCACAACGAGCCATCCTTTTCCTGGCCCATAATGCTCCGCAAGCGTGAGCCCTCCTTTCTATTATTACCGCTATCATCAGTATAAAAGTTTGACAACGAATTTAGAATGATTAAGAAAATTAATTAAATTAATTATTTATAATAAATATATATTAAATTTCTTAAATTACTTTTGTTTAATCATATATATATTGGAACTATACTTGGGTGAAAATATTTCACAATTAATAGGAATATTTTTAAAAACATATTATAAATTTAAAAGACGAAATTTTTATATTTAAAACTGTCAACTAGTTTTTATATTTAAGATCGGAGGTATTAATTTTTTTTTTTAATTTACTCATACCTTAGCTGCCAAATACATGCTAATTTTTCACTAGGATTGGAGACAATCAATGCTTCTTTGACATGTAAATATCTTTCTACTTTTGAGTTTTGAATAATAACTTTTTTTGAAATTCTATAAACATTTTATGCATTTGGAGGGGGTAAATACAATCCTCTATTCCCCTGTCATATGTCCTCGTTGCATCCGAATTCGAAATGGGTTATCGAGCGGCTCCAGAAATAATAATCATTGTCCAAAATAAAGCCATTAGCAATCCTACGGCTTCACATAGATATAACCATAAGAACTTGCGTACACCACTATATAGATTATACAATCTCCTCCGCAACGTGACGAGAAATAGTTTTTTTGGTCGAAAAGGTTTATCACTACGCCAAATAGCCAATACCATTTGTCTCTCCGCCAAACGAGGCCGACCCGTGTGTTTTTCCGTCTCTCGTCAGTCACTGGAGTTCCACATCATATCTTCAATGGCTTCCTTGCTCAGTATGGTTTCGGTATCGCCCAGAACTTTGTCACGCACCAGAACCCCTAATGTCCAAGCACGACCATTTCACGCCCCAAGTTCCTTCTCATTCACAAGTAGGTTGACTCAGTGGAGCTCCTTTGATTGCCGTTTGAGTTAGCTATTGGATGCTAGAAACACCTCTCTGTGCCCCCTTTTTGTATTCTGCTATCAAATGTGTTGATTGTGGTTTTGTCAACTTACTCAGCGATGAAACGCCACTAGGAGTTCTTGCCTTTGAGCTTTCGCTCTGTGTTGTTTTATTGGGTCTGATAATTGGTTTGTTATCATTGCAGCGAGGAGATTACAGATTAGAGCAGCAGAAACTGAGACAAACGAAGGTGAATTGAGCTTTCTTGTGCCAATAATTTTTTTTTCAGTTGTAGTAGTTTTGGAATTCAAGTAACTTTCAATCTTTTGGTTGGTATGAGTAGTTAAATCTCAAGCACCAGATAAGGCGCCAGCTAAAAATGGCTCGAGCTTCAATCAACTTCTTGGTATTAAAGGAGCTTCCCAAGAAACAGTGGGTCCATTTTTTTAGTCTTCTTCTTCCATGTCTGTAGTTCGATGATGTGAAAACTATCAATTTTTTTTCCGGGGAATTTATTCTGAGTAGACGCATTCGTTATGATAAGATTTGTGTTATTGTAGTTGTAATGAAAACATCTAAGTTTTACGCAGGAAAAAGTTTGTATTTAAACTACTCGACTGTACTTTAGTTTATTGGAAGAAATGACTGGTTTTGGGAGGAATGAAAATTAGAGGTGATGGTGAGTTGTTGCTTATTAGAAAAACAACAGAAATATGGAAGATATGAAAATAAATAGAATATTTCATCAGAATTATACCAAAATCAGTGTTCTTAAATAATGAGACGTGAGTTTGTAGTCTTTTATACTTTACTGCTATCCCATCAAAATAATAATTACCCTTAAATCAGATAAGAAATAATATGTAATTTTAGAATTTTCACTTCATTTTCATTCCACTTGTTTGTGTGACTGAGGAGAAATTTGCACTGACGCTGAGCCTTGAGCTTATTATTGAATTAGGAAAAAAAACTGCTATACCAGTGCATCTCCCTCGGAGACCGAGATTTGCTACTTGACTACTTCCCGTTGAAATTAAATCCATCCCCAAATATCGCTTACCTCTGCATTTTATACTGTAAGCTAGATTATATGAGGACAAATAAGGCTGACTGAAGAATTGCTCTGTGGTGCTACTTTACTGGTTTAATATGGCAAAATGAGTGTCTCTTTGCATAAGATTGATCTGGATGTTTTATGGACATATGCTAGCTCATATACCTCCCATGCTGTTATTGGTGCATTTTTTCTTTTCTTTTCTTTCTTTTCTTTTTTGTTTTTTCAATCTGGAGATAAGACTTTAAACGCTTTGGCTAGATTATGTGGCTGACATCTGTTGATCCGAAGTATGCTTTTATTTTGAAATGCAGAACATTTTGGGCAATGTTATTTTAAGCACTTTTGTTATTAATGCAATTTAACATTCTGAGACAAACAAATTAAGTACGATCTTTGCTTCTAGTTACTGAGTTCTCTGTCACCTCCTGGCATCTCTAGTCTTTTGATTTGTTACAGAGTAAATAATGTATTAAAACAGATGATTTTGCACCATCCAGAACATGTCTGCTTACAATTTATTATGTAATATGTGTTCACAGAATAAATGGAAGATTCGTCTTCAACTTACAAAGCCTGTCACTTGGCCTCCATTGGTTTGGGGTGTAGTTTGTGGTGCTGCTGCTTCTGGTATTTCTTTTAGTTCTTTGTGATCCTTGGTTTTATTTAATGTTCTCAATTTTGTGTTTTAGTCGCTGACTTCACAGATGCATTGTGCATCTGCATAAACTTTAAGTAGTCAGTGTTCTGAAGCAATCTGTTCACATGACAGGAAATTTCCACTGGAATTTTGAGGATATTGCAAAATCAATTGTGTGCATGATGATGTCTGGACCCTTCCTTACGGGATATACACAGGTTCTATTCCAGAGAAAGATAAGTTTTGCTGATCCTTGTTGGATGAGTGCCAAACTAACATGAGCTTGATTTTCTTCTTTTTTAATTTGTTAGACTCTGAATGATTGGTATGATCGAGAAATTGATGCAATCAATGAACCTTATCGACCAATTCCATCAGGGGCAATATCCGAGAATGAGGTATGTTGATTATCTATCTGGTATTCATGCATGCTTTCCCGTTGTAATTTTTCAAATATTCATTGCCTAAAATTCTTCAGGTCATCACACAAATATGGGTACTGTTGTTAGGGGGCCTTAGCTTGGCTGGCTTGTTGGACATATGGGTTTGTATTCTACACTTCAGTTCCTTTTTTATTTATTTGCTTTAAAGTGTAAATTACAATGAATCTTGGTTTTTCAATGCTTGTTCTTATAGGCAGGGCATGATTTCCCTGTAGTTTTTTACCTTGCTCTTGGTGGATCATTGCTGTCATATATTTACTCTGCTCCTCCTTTGAAGGTACTTCATTTCTACATTTCAAACATTTTCATTATTTTTTTTCCAATATTGTTTCTTTCGGGGTTTGTTTCTCCAAGTCAAAAAAGTAAGTTTGTTTCTTGATGTAAACCCTCCTACTTCCCACTGTTGCAGGGAATACCATTTTTTTTTTTTTTAAAAAAACATTTGACGAAAATTTCCTTTTCTCTGCATGCAGCTAAAGCAAAATGGATGGATTGGAAACTTTGCTCTTGGAGCAAGTTACATCAGTTTACCATGGTGCTATATTCTTTTGCAGTAACATATTTTAAGCACTCTGCTGCTTATCAACATGCATTTCTAAATGGATTCATCACTTATGCCTTTGATATTCAACCATTTTCTCAGTCAGGAAGTTGCTCCTTATGCATAGTAGTTAACTTCCATCCGTATGATGCATACTAGGCTATAAAGGGGATTCTTGCATCTGTACTTAATATTTGCTTAAAAAACTGAAGTTTTTTAAGATTCTTGCTTGCGTTCATTGCAAGGAATAAACTGGGTAAAGCTGAGGGACATTTTATTGACCCAAAATAATGGGGAACCTGATCTGTTAGTTTAATTTAAACCCAAAGTCTGCTGTCTGGACTTGTACCTTGCTTCTAAAGTTTTGTAACCACGTTCCTAATGATAGGTGGGCTGGTCAGGCTTTGTTTGGAACTCTGACACCTGATATCGTTGTTCTCACACTGCTGTACAGCATCGCTGGAGTATGTAGTAGCCGTAATTCAAAAGCTTGTTATAGTTGATATCTATCTCATGTTAAGTTTTTTGAAAAGGTCTGTAATGTTGTTACCGTGTACATGTCAGTTGGGAATTGCCATTGTCAATGACTTCAAAAGTGTTGAAGGGGATAGAGCTCTAGGACTTCAGGTTGTTCTATTGTCCTATCTTTTGATTTTTCTAATTGCTAATCTTTGTGGTTCTAGAATTTCTGATAACTGCTGCCACCTGACATTTCTATTTTCCCAACAGTCACTTCCAGTTGCGTTTGGTACTGAAGCTGCTAAATGGATATGTGTTGGTGCCATTGACATTACACAGATATCTGTTGCTGGTACATTTTAATCCACTAAATATAGTTTTATGGTTTGTTCTCATCTTTTCTTCAAAATAACTATACTGTTAATTTATGCCATGTACTGGTTAGCTTAATATGAACATTGGTGACTTGATTCAAGGTTGTTACTGCATTAACTTCATAAATATATGGGTGGCCCCCTCCCCCACGCGAGGTTCATCCTCTTCCGAAATTTTGTTACAAGATTGGAGTGTTTTCTTGAAATGGTGACAAGAGGACAGCTAAATAGTCAGTCATGCACATGCACACGCACACCTTTGCTCTGTCTCAGTTTGCGGTTGAGATGATTTGCTGAATTTTTTTTTTAAATGGCCAAATATGATAAACTGATTTAGATTTTGGTAAATCAGTCATTTTCAAGTTGATCAAGACTGATGAACCGGAATAGAAAGACTGACTTGGTTTTTATGCAAGGAGTTTATTTGCATATATTTTTTCAGGATATCTTCTTGGAGCAGGAAAACCATACTACGCATTGGCTTTAGTTGCCTTGATAGTTCCACAAGTCTTTTTTCAGGTAGGACACAATCAAAATGAAAACTTTTTTCTTTGCTTAGGTGGTGTTTGGTACATGTGGCCAGTTTGCTGAGTACTTGGAGACCGACTTGTTTATGAGATTTTTTTTTTTACTACACAATAAAACATTAAATTCATGAAAGTTTCATTAAAAGGTTTTTCCTTTCATCACTTATATTTTAAATATCCACTACGGAGGTACGGATTGATAAAAGAAGATTGTCTGTAATAACGTAAAATAGCTGAAAAATGCACTCTTATGTTGTCCTATTCAGCCAAATTTATGTTGGAATCTTACTGGCTCTTATATCTTGCAGTTTCAGTACTTCCTCAAAGACCCTGTAAAGTATGATGTTAAATATCAGGTACATATTCACTATTGGACTTCTAAGAACTAAATTTGCTGTTTCAGCTGTAGAATGTGGTGTTCTTTCAATAAACAAAATAGTGGAGGGTTTCCTTTCGACTTTATTGCAGAGGAAACGAACTGTGGAACCTGAAGCCACTCTTATTCTTCTTCAGATTTGCCGACCCTTCCAATTTCCATTCCATTTTTGGTTAAATAATAATAATGAATTAATAACCATAAGATCTTTATATTGTCTGGTGAAAAAAAAAAGAAAAAAAGAAAAAAAGATCTTAATATTGATGTTCTTGAGATGCTTTCTTTTCCAGTTTCCTCTTTTTCCAGGCAAGCGTACGTGCATATATATTCGTGTGTATAATACTTCCTTGAGAAACTCCTCTGGTCCTTATAATTTTGGTTCTAAATAGAAGACTTATTTCTTATATTTATTAATTTTTTCTAAATTATCTTCATAGATACTCCTTCAACCATAATCAAATAAGTGAGGGGGAAAAGATACTAAGAAAGATGATTATGGTATTTTAAGAAAAACAGGTCATATTTATTATAATTAACTAATTTATCTAATTTCTTTAATCTAATCAAATTAGTTAAATAGGTCTTCATACCGGAGAAGTATTAGATATAATTCATTTCATTCTCTCTTTTCGTGTTCTGTTCTTCCATTTTTCCTCTCTCTCTCTCTCTCAATTGGCTCTATATTTAACGCGCACATGATTGAAGTGGTTTCAATTACTTTTTCAGGCCAGCGCACAGCCATTCCTTATCCTTGGTCTCCTGGTTACCGCTCTAGCTACCAGCCATTAGTCTTCAGTGAATCAATATGCAAGTATCCTGAAAAGTACGTATGGAGAAAATAAACATGAAAGGGAAGTGAAGCATACACACTGGGAAGAAGGGAATTCACAAATATTAGATTGCCTTTACCTGCCTGCTAAAGTTGAGTTTGATCAAGGCTTGTTCTCTTGTGCTTAGAGTAGTTTCGGAAATTTTGGATCCCGGGAGTTCAGGTTGAGAATGTTTACATAAAGCTGTGGACGAGAAATCCATTGGATACAAAATGCTGTCCGCTGCAACTTGTAATGTATGCACGCATCTTTCTAAGGGAAATTTACAGAAATATTGTGATTCGAATTCAGCCAAGCCGTCATCTAGTAGGTTATTTTAAACAAGTCTTTATTGACTCAATGATGTACCTGACTTCCTTTACTAATCGTATATTGTTGAGCTCTCAACCTAAAAAGTTATTTTAAATTATACTCTGATTTCCATATTTAGGGATGTTGTGGACTTATGGTAAATGAAGCGATCTTACAAACTCACTATTTAATCAGAAAAAAAAAAAAACCATGTTTTTCAAAACGATTTTGAGATTAACATTAACATGCCTAAGTCATGTAAGCAATTTATTCCAACGAACGATCAAGGAATTCTCACCTGAAATTAGCTCATGGGTATTTAATTGTGGGTAAGAATAGAAATTAAAAAAAAAACACTCATTTACATACCATATTGATGGTGGTACTTTGTGGTAAGCAGTGATTTTTTTTTTTTAAAAAAAAATTGAGACTTTTATTAAAGATTACGAGAAGCATATTAATATCTCTTTATATGTTGAGAATAGTATAATTCCGTGTGAGATATTGTTGGTTACTAAATATAGGTATTTCTCTTAGTAGGAATTCAAATTGAAATTTTAATTTGTTACGTTATCGTTTCACTAGATCGAATGCATTAGCATCCACCATTGTTGTTGATTGGAAGGTGTTGGTTATCTTCCACTTCAGCAAATTATTTAATTCTACTATTTTCTTTTATCTTTATCCAATCCTACCCGGTCTTTTCCCACTTACCTCACCCTCAAATTGTAATTTTCTAGTGGCTGAAATTATAATAATATTTTATTCTAAAATTTAAATTATCTAAATAATGTTTTAATTATATATTTTACGTATACCGAAATACAAAATAACAATAAAATAAAATGATAGTAGCAAATCATGCAACAATTTTAAATACAAACAGGGGTCATAAAATTTGGGAGTGACAGATTATGATTCTGAGTAATAAATTTGGCAATGAAAGTTAGATATGCATGTTGTGACTTGTGAGTGCTCCTAAATTCTTTTGAACAAATGTGAAATTTGAGATCCCCATACATTATTTTGACTAGTAAATTTCGGAGTGGGGGGTGACTAAATTCTTTGAACGAACTCTAAGGTCTATCTTGATTTTGGAATTGCTTCATGTCCGTAGCAATTTTTTTTAAAATAATTATTTAATTGTAAATATCTTTAAAACATTTATTAAATTAAAGATCAAGATAACATATTCATATCAAAATAAAATGATCTAAGAGGATGTTTGGATGGAAAGCAAATCATGGTTTTAAAAATGCTTTTATAGTATACAAAATAAATATGTAGAAGAGTTTGTCTCTTTTTACAAAAAAATGCTTTTTAAAAGTATTTTTAGTATTTGCCAAACACCTCCTAAATTTGATAATTGAAATGCTTGCTATTGACAAAATTTCAACTCGCATCAAAGTTTTTTTTGCCAACAATGAAAAATATTCTTGAACTTGTTGCCTTGTCGAAACGTTCTTGCAGGTCAAGCCACACTAACCGAGCATCTTGGAAGAAAACGACACCATTCGCAAGCCCCGTTGAGATGGAATTCAAAATCCACGATAACACGACAACATTGCAACGCTCCCACTGATCCTTCTGATTGTCTTCTTGCATTTCTTTCATGCAAGAACCATCAACAAAGCCCAATTTGTGCTTTCCACGCAGAGCTATTCTCATGGCCCGACTCCACACATTGTAATTCTCGGCACCGATGAGCATCTGCGACACAATAGTGGCTCCTTGCGTATCGGAGGAATTATTCATGAAACAAGCTGTCCCTATACACCTGAATAAAATGGGATAGTGGAGGTATAACGGGTGGTTGAAGCTGAGATTTTTGCTTGCAGAATCACCTGAGTTCTTCGAATCTCCCATGGTGGCAAACGGCAACTTCGTCTCCTCGCTTCGATGCAACGCAGAGAACCAGACTAGGGCACGAACACGAAGATTCAATTCATCCTCTCTAATCGATTGATCAATATAGACGAAACGATGTCATCTCCTTCAAGTGGTAATGGACCTCCAGAACCTCGGCTTTGGATACCATGATAGCAGATATGAAACAGGCCCAAAGAATGGAAATTTGTATTATTGAACCGCAAGAGAATCGTCCAGTACACATTGAACAGAGAATGACCCACCTACTTACATTGGGTCCAAAACCAACAATACTAACAGAACCTTGAAGCTAACAGAAAAGAATCCTAAATGGGCCCTCGGCCTAATACATCAATATGTCAATAATATCCATTATATATAAACGTACTTCATTAAAAAACTTCAACTAGGAAAAGCCTTGTGAAACAAAAACCTAGTGAAAAAAAAGTACATTATTCATTGATATACTGCGCAATGTTATCTCATTAAAAATCTTGCTAGAAAAACCTAATGGACAAAACTATAGACAAGAAAAAAAGAGTACTGCATGTATCAACTCCCCCTCTCGACAATATCGGTTGACATTTTTGAGCTACAAGGTCTAATATGACAAAAAATCCTTCCAAATATTGTGGTGAGATAAAAATGTCAAATATTAATTTCATAATCTTCTGAAAATCATGAGACAAATAGTCTTTTTATAGTTTAGGCACGTGTAGATCATATTGTGATCTCTCAACATAAGGATAAAATGAAAATACTTTATCTACATAGCCAGTAAGATTATTTTTGGGTATCTTCAGATAAAATAATATTAATATAGGAAGCAGTACAAAACCTTTTAAAGAAGAGGTTTTTTTTTTTTTTTTTAAGGTGAAATGCAGCTTATGTCTGGAAATAACCAAAACAAATTAAACACGATCAGAAAATTGAGAACAAGGAAACAAACACAGTGAACATAAAAACTATAAACACTTTAGAAAATGAAAAGCTTGGCTGTCAGCAAGTTGAAGGAAACTGCCAAAGAAAATGGAAGAACACAGAGTGGGTGATGAAGAGTTTGAGAGGAATCGATAACAATGAAACTAATGCGATGAGCAAGAAGAAGAAGAAACAGAGAAATAAGGTTAATTGATAAGACTGGGGATTGAAATGGTGTGCAACTTGAAGAAGAGAGAGTTGTAAGCTGAGGAATGCGAAGACCAACAAGAAGGTGAAGAAAGACGATAGCTTTAACCGTAGCCATGGCAAGGACTTTATGGATGGACCCAAAGACTCTTCAGATTTCAGAGTTGTCGTCAACCTTACCATTCACAACGTGTTCACACAATTTTACTATTTACACCATTCCACTGTCTCCCAACGCGCTTTCTACCCCTCCAGATTCTGGAAGGTAAAAGGGAGAATTACTATACACTACAAGAAAACACCTAAACCCAAATTTGCCAGAAGAAAAGAAGAAGACCAAAAAAATTGTGCATTTATTTTAGATCAAGAATATAATAGGTCAATCAGGAATGCTTTTTTAAAAAAAAAATCGTCAAAAAGGAAAGTAACACGGTAAATTATGATCATAAATGTAAATGCAATGTTCATTTTGTATAGCGTAAATTACCCGATGGGTATAATAAATGGTGGACTGGCAACAGACCTGACAATATTGAATATCAGCATGATAGGGTCAAGACCACGTAGACTCATAGTATTTCCCGGAATTTGCCTAACGTCCCCAGATTCCAGTGAAGATACGTCCATCTCTAATAATATATTATCACCATTGGTTTAGATCCCGTTTATTACCTCTCTAATTTAGAGAAAATTTTTTGTTCTAAATATAAATTACTTGTAAGGTTTTAAATGATTATTTTTTAATTTTATCCTTATTTAATAATCATTCAAAAGGGAGAAAGAGTTATATGTTATGAGGAAGAGGCAAGGAATTCATTTCTATACTTTAGGAGGAGCTTTGAAGCTGATCTATTTTCTCCTCTATAAATGATTTGTAATTATAGGTAGAGAACTTTAATGAGGGTAAATTCAAAAAATTCACATTGATTTTTTTGTTCAAACTTTCTGTTCATTGTTGCAAACCATATTGGACAATAAGATGTTTATGATAAGTTATGTAAGCAATAGGCATATGTGTTCTTGAATTGTAATATATAGTTTCATAATGTCTGTTAGATGAACGTCTTTGTCTGGCTTCTTCGTTCGGGTACGATTTTATAAAAATGCATTGAGTCATTGATTTGGCGCAATGTGCCAAGTATAGTCTTAAAGTGGACCTAAGAAAGAGGAGGAAGAGAGAGACGTTAGTCTGTTGGTGTATTAGTGTATATTATTGTTAAGTTATTAACTTCACAATAAAATATTTTGAGAGATGTTGAAATAATGGGCAAGTTAAGTAAAGGTTAGTAATCTGTGAGCATGGGTCAAGATACTTGTTGTGTTATTGAAAAAGAAATTGGATAAGGCTTTTATTTTATTGGGTTTTTCTTTACTATTTACATAGCACGTGAGTGTTGCTACTTCATTGGGAACGTATGGAGGCTTGAATCTTGATATTTTGATTTTTTAATGGTAGTTCAATTTTAATATTCACTTAATTAGATTAGATAATGCACCTTGCTTTACTTGAAATATGAGATAATCCAATTAATCATGGTATATAATACATTGGCGCATGGAATTGAATTCTTTGTATTGAATGCTGTTCGACATTGGCGTATGGAAGTAAATCGTCTATTATGAATTGTATTTTGTATTAGTATTATTGTATTACATACTGATTCAACTGTGAAAGTAATTGTATATTATTTGTTTACTTTCTAGTATATTAAACTTGTTATTTTATTTTTTTTTGTATTTTTCAGGTGTTTCATCCTTTTCTGGAAATTATGGAAACTGATGCAAAGTACAAACTGTTCAAATTTCAAGGCTCCAATTACAATATTAGATCTTGCTTTAAATGGATTATTAATGTCATTTAAT